GTCTCTCATTGTGGGCCTTTTCGCACCCTGGCCTGAGCTGCTGGGCATCTCTGCGTTGGATACAGGTATAATAATAATAATAATAATAAATAATAATAATAATAATAATTTTATTTATATCCCGCCCTCCCCAGCCGAAGCCGGGCTCAGGGCGGCTAACAACACTAAAATAGTGCAACATTCTAAAAGCATTATAAAAATTAATTAAAATCAAAATTGATGGCAACCATAAACTAAAGATCTGTAAAGATTGCCAAAGGAGGGAGTCAGGCTGTGCCCGGACTAAAGGCCTGGTGGAACAGCTCTGTCTTGCAGGCCCTGCGGAAAGATGTCAAGTCCTGCAGGGCCCTTGTCTCTTGTGACAGAGCGTTCCACCAAGTTAGAGCCACAGCCGAAAACCCCTGGCTCTAATTGAGGCCAGCCTAACCTCTCTGTGGCCTGGGACCTTCAAGATGTTTTTATTTGAAGACTGTAAGTTCCTCTGTGGGGCATACCAGGGGAGGCGGTCCCGTAGGTACGAGGGTCCTAGGCTGTATAGGGCTTTGAAGGTTAAAACCAGCACCGTAAACCTGATCCTGTACTCCACAGGGAGCCAGTGCAGCTGGTATAACAGCGGATGAATGTGATCTCGCAGCGAGGATCCCGTAAGGAGTCTCGCCGTGGTGTTCTGCACCCGCTGGAGTTTCTGGGTCAGTCTCAAGGGCAGCCCCACGTAGAGCGAGTTACAATAATCCAGTCTGGAGGTGACCGTTGCGTGGATCACAGTGGCTAGGTCAGGGCGAGAGAGGTAAGGAGCCAACTGCTTAGCTTGGCGGAGATGAAAAAATGCCGCCTTTGTTATAGCTGCAATCTGCGCCTCCATGGAGAGGGAGGTATCGAAGATTACACCCAAACTCTTAACGGACAGTGCTGGCACTAATTGCACCCCCGCAAGAGATGGGAGTTGCCCCCTCAATCCCATATTGTCCCGTCCCAGCCAGAGGACCTCTGTCTTTGAAGGATTTAACTTCAACCGGCTCCCATGTAACCATCCAGCCACAGCTTCCAAACATCTGATCAGTGTGTCTGGGGCCGAGTCAGGATGGCCATCCATCAACAGATAGAGTTGGGTGTCATCAGCATACTGATGGCAGCCCAGCCCAAAACTCTGGACAAGCTGGGCGAGGGGGCGCATAAAGATGTTAAAAGCATCGGGGAGAGTATCGCCCCCTGAGGGACGCGACACACCACGGAGTGGCGCGATGACAATTCCCCCAAGCGCCACCCTCTGTCCCCGACCAGAGAGAAACGAGCACATCTTTTGTGTATCATGGCTTTACCTCCCCCTATATCTCTCCAGTTCTTTAACCCGCCTCTCTACTTAGGGTTGCCCCCCTCCTTAAGGTCCAAGGGACGTGGAACTTGATTTTTCCCAAGCAACAAATGTACCCATTTATATTGATATTTCTAGAACAGTTGGAGGACCAAGCAACAACCTGAATTTGCCCAGTGAGCAATTACATCAGCTTGATCAAATCTGGATCTTCAAAGGAGCTCCATGGCTTGGTGGCTTAAATCTGTGGTGGCTCAAGATGAAGACATGTGGGGTTGTAACCAATGACGGTTCACTCAGAGTAGATCCATTCAAATAGATGACTCTATAAGTTAAACAAGGCAATTAATTCCAATGCATTTTTGGATAGTTGAATTTCATGACATGGAATCCTCAGAAAGATGCTGGCATTCTAGCACTCTGCCCAAGACCATAGTAGACCAGTGATACTCTGGTTGTTCTGTGAGTCACCATTTAAACTTTATACTATGTTCCCAGGGAAGCAAAATTCTGGGGACACTCCAGATTTGGAGTAAACCTACCCTTGAATAGTCTGATCTCTCTCTTCAGCAATCTTTGCCAACTAAGCTCAAATCAGCCGTGGTTCAGGGTGTGGACATATGAGCTTTGTTCATGGTTAGTGTTGACTTCTGGCATCCTCAGGAATATGGTGTTGTGTCACTGCACCAGCCAAGATACCTTGCAGGTGGTGCTCACCGGAGTGGCAGAGAGCAGCATGATGTTTGGCCCATATTGTTACTGGCCCTTGCCCAGGAAAGGACGCAAGAAAGTTCCTGTGCTTAAGACCAAAAGCCAGTGGCCCTTTCTTCATACACGCAGATGGCTCTCGCCTGTCAAAGCACCAGTTCACGAGGGTTATGCGCAAGGGAATCGCTGTCATGGGGCTCCCATCTGGGGAGTACGCCGCACATTCTTTCCGCATCGGGGCTGCAACAACTGCCGTGCACATGGGTTTACAGGCGGAGAGGATAATGGATATGGGACGGTGGAAGTCGAACGCTTACAGGGGATACATCCAGAAACCATGCTAACGTTCCCTCCCCATCAGCCCCCTGACCCGGCTCTCTTACTCTTTTATTTTCAGGTGTCGGGGCGGTGCGTCTGTGGATCATCGGCCACAGCATTGTCCACTGGGCGACATTGCGTGCGGTCACCAGGGGCTGGGGCGGCGATCTGCAGCTCCCA